CTGAAGAGATGGCAGGTACAAAGAAAGGCACGGAAGCAGACACACTAAATGAAGTGTGTGGGCCAGAAGGACAAATGGAGCACATATAGCATGTTTTCTTTCATCTGTGTATCTAGATTAAAAAAAAAAAAAGAAAGAAAGAGGAGGAGGAGGAGGGGCCCAGAAAGTAGAAGGGATTTGCAAATATGATAAAATTATGTGAGATGTGTATCTGTAAATTTCATAGGGAAAGCTACCATTTTGACAACGAACATACCTAATTTAAGGAGAACAAAAAGGAGAGGGAGGCAGCTTGCCATTAATATTGTGACCCCAGGGCTAGAGCTGCTCGGGTTTCCTAAAATGCACAAAACCACGAAATGGATGCTGCATCCATGCCAGGTTCACATATGCAGCGGTGCTGTTTTTATCTCTTAGTGGGGTAAAAGCAGACGGCTGTAGTACAGATCTCAGCCACAAAGCCAAGTAAGAGAGGAAGGACCCCAGACGGACCCCCAGACGGACCCGAGCCCTGGGCTCCTCAGAACCTAACTAGACATGGCTGTGCAGAATCCGTGGCCAGAGCACCTCCTGGGCCTTTCTGGCTCGAGACTCCTCAAGCCCAAGGCAGTGCTCACTGTGGAGGGAGGGCAGTGAGGAGGACGCAAGGCAGACTGTAGACACGCACCAGTAAGTGGAACATGTCGACGTCCAGTATGCACGGCAGGTCTTCATAGCTGTCACTAGGCACCAAGGCTAGAGAAGGAAGGGGACACATTAGCACACTTCAGAGGCCAGCGTCAGTGCAGAGGCACCACGTAGAAAACACTTCGTTTGTAACCGAGACATTAGACTCCTACAAAGAAAATTCCCAAAGACCAGAAGTTGCCAGAACATAGATGGTCACAGACACTGGAACACTCACATGCGAAGAGTTTACAGAAGTGTCCTTGAACCACAGGAAGTGACGCCACGGTCCAATGTGCTGCTGCGAATCGTGTTAAAGACCTGAGACAGTCGTCCTGAAAGAAAGAAGTCTTACAGTTACCAGAGAAGGAGCAGACCCCTTCTAGAGATAGACTGTGAAACAAACAAAAGCAAGTCCTGCCAGCCCACAAACACGGGTTCTTTGGCATCTTTACAGAAAACGGGTTTTACTGAGAGGAACGAATGCTCTTACCAGTCTACAAGGCAGAGGCCCGAACAGGGGCTTCTCTTCATCACTCAAAATTCTTTCTAAAGACAAAAGATGGTTAAGAAGGTAAATTGAATGCCATGGATATTTTGTTATTTTCTTAAAAGTTACTTTCTTTGTACATTTTTAAATAAGTTCTATTATATCTTTTCTTTCTTTCTTTTTTTTTTTTTGGTTTTTTGAGACAGGGTTTCTCTGTGTAGCATTGCGCCTTTCCTGGAGCTCACTTGGTAGCCCAGGCTGGCCTTGAACTCACA